TATTTTCACACTCCTACCATGCTTTTAAAAATAGCTGGTTTTATTTCAATGCTCCTGGGATCTTCGGCTGCTTAAAATGATTAGTAAGTCATAATGTAATAAAAGTTGTACCTGCTGATGCACGCTATTGTCATCAGCTTCTTCTCCACGTAATTCCCAGTAAGGCGTGGAAATGTGTGAGGGTTGAGAAGGGGCTGCTTGGGCTGGACCTGACAGATCTGGTGAGTTGTACAGTTCCCTACAAGAAAAATTCCCCAGTTCCTGTTGTCCCACTCAGTAATGGTGCTGCTGGTGCGTTTTCAGCCCTCTTACTCCCCCCCTTTTCATTCTGGAGATGTTTCCACAACCACACGTCCTCTGCACTGTCCCCGGGAGGTGGCTTAGCCTGTGTCTGTCCTGTAAAACCTTGCATGTGTCCCTATTTAAGTTGATCCTGTTATTTTAGGCTGTTTCTCAAGGTCATCCCAGCTTGGTGCCACCAGCGTGTGCCTCTCCTCTTCATCCCAGCTGCTACAGCTGGGTGTAGAGCAGTGGGCTGCCTCACCTTGGCCACAGGGATAAGTGCTCTGCAAGGATGCGTTTCCCTCAGGGGATGCATCTTCCATTAGCTGCTTCCTCACAGCTTTGTTTCCTGACCAGCCCCATGAGAACATAAAATGAGGCACTTCCAGGCCCATCACCACTGGAAAATGTCAAAGAGCCAACAAGTATCCAAGTCTTGGGCCAGAACCACGGACTTCTGAGAACTTTAATCAGAGCAGCTCACTCTTGTATTATTTATGCCACGGTGGTGCTCTGAGACCCACTGGAGCCAAGACATCATCACACCAGACATCCGCACAAAGCCGACATCCGCCTGGCAAAGCACCCAGGGATGAGGCTGGGAACTGTCTGCTCATCCACATGATCCACTGCCTGCCAGGTCAGGCACTCAGTTTGGCTTTGAGATCACCATCTACTGGCCCCTGAAACCTGTGAATCCATCTAGAGCCATTCCTGAGGCTACAGGAGGGAGTTTTCTCACCAGGATAAGCACCTTGCTCCTTGGGGACACCGGCTGTGGGCTGCAAAGCCCTGAGCGCCAAGGAGGCCCTGCAGCCTCTTGTCCCTCTGGGCTCTGGGTGCCTGGGCTCCCACCAGCACTGCTTCATCCCGTCCCTCAGCGGCCACGCCAGGCCAGAGCTCAAGGTTGTCCCGGGAAGGCTGAGAAGAGGTCGGAGAGGGAGGATGTTCAATTAAAGCTGCTTAAAAAAGAGATCCAACTTTCCATATGCCTCTCTGGGGAATAAAAAAGCCCCAGAGCTGAGCGCAGATGGGGTGCCAGGCGGGGACTGAGCACAGCCCCCACGGCAGAGGTGACTCCGGCTCAGCTGTTCCCACTGCCTGCGATCCGCAGGGATTGAGGTTGACTTTTGGTGTTTCCTGATGGAGAGTTGGACATTTGGCTCAACAGAAATCCCCACGCAAGCTCAGGCAGTGGACAGGCCTGTGACACAGTGTCCTCCAAGCTACTCATGGCTTCCAACGCTCCTTTCTCCCCCCGGGGTGCCGGTGATGCAGGAGGCGGCTCTGCTGGTGCCTGGGTGGGCTCTTCCATGGGGACACCAGGCTGGAACGGTGGCACTGGGGGCCGTGGGAGGGCAAGGAGCCATCCCCCTTCTGCTGGTGGCCCCCACACCGACCCCTCCAGCTGGGAAAACCCAAGTGCATCTCCACAGACAAGGAGTCATTCCCTGGCCGGAACCTTCTCCAGGAGGAGTTTCCCTGGGCAAAGGACTGGAGGATTCAGCCATGGTGTGGTGGAGGTGTTGGGAGGAGTGGCTGGGAGGTTGGCCCTCGTGTCGCTGTGCCACGTGTGCCATCTCACTCACACAGCCGCCCAGAATAGTGTCACCATCTGGTTCCAGCTGCCCAGGACGTGGGAACCTCCCCGGCCCCTTCTGCGATTACAAAAAGTGAATTCAAACATCAACTCAGCCGGACTCGGGCAGCCTTTATCCCTTTTTTTTTTTTCTTTTTTTTTTAATAATTCAGGTTTGTCTCTCAGAGAAGAGAGAGGCAGATAATGTCTACAGAGCATTTAATCTTCTGCCCAAAGAATAGCAGAGAGCAAATTAGGATCTACTCCAATTAATTTGCCTTGATGGGCAAAATCTGGAGAGCGGCCATATCTGGGAATTAGGAACAAAAGCAGGGAGTGTAAAGTAGGTCACCGGAGTTTCATAACCGGAACGAGGGGGTTTCACAGCACACTGGGTGCTCCAGAGGCTCCCAGTGCCGGGGTCCACCTGCCTCTGTCCCCCAGACCTGCAGGTTTCAGCCTGGACAGTTGCTTTAAGATGCTGCCAGTGTGCAGGGAGCCAGTTGTTTGTTCTGGGGGCAGGAACGAGGACGTTGTCCCTTCCCCCAACAGGACACAGCTGCAAGGCTGTCCCAAACCCTTGGACCCAATGGAAAGACAGGCACCAGCTCATCATCCCAGTTCTGGAGCACCCAAAGAGCTTTCGGATGGTTGGCATGCCCATCCTTGCTGTCACACTGCCACCCTCAGCCCTGCAGGCACCTTCTCGAAGGAGGATTAGGCGTCACAGGTGGCAGTGGGGTTTGGACAGTGCTTTGCTAAGGACTCTTGCACTGTGGGGTGTCACCAAGCAGTGGTGACCAACAGGCCCACCCCAGCCCAGCACCCTCAAATCCTAATCCCAATTCCCCAGCCCCATCAGGGCCTGCAGGCACCGTGTGGTGACATATTCTGGTGTCACCTTCCAGCCGCAGGACACGTGTGGAAGCAGTGCCAAGGGTGTGAGCCACGTGACACGCGCTGGTGCTCGGGACACGCGGTGACACGGTGACATGGCTAAGGGTGTGTGACACGTACGGTGACATCTTCCAGGACACGGGACATGCGTGGCGTGTCTTTCCACAGGCAGAGTGAGGCGCCCGGAGCGTTCGGTGGGTGACAGTGGCTTTGATCCCGGGCTTTGATCCCAGCGGGATGGAAGCAGGCACGGTTTATTGACCGCGAGTGTCACCGCCGTGGTGACAGCGTGTCACAGCACCGCACTGGTGGCGCTCCATCTCCCCGGCTGCCTCCCACTGCGGGATGCTGGGGAGCCCCCCCGGCAGTGATCCCACCGCTCCCACCGCTCCCGTCCCCAGGGAGGTGCCGGCGGGCGCTGCACGGTGCGTGGCAGGCGCCCGGCTGGCGTTTATCCTCTTAGCCACCCTGCCGGGATCCGGCACTAATTCACCCTTAAACACAGGATTGTCGGGAACTGGGAAGGGAAGAATCGGCGGATTATCCCCCCAGCGCTGGCGTTAAACACGGGGAGCGGCAGCTGCTGGGTGAGGAGAGATGGGGTGGTGTCTTGCCCCGTGTCCCATGGGGCGCCAGTCCCACCATCCCCCAGCGAGCTCAGATGTTTTGTGTCCCCCCCAAGTCAGTTCCAGGCTGAAATAAATAACATGAAATAAATGTGGGGCTGCCCATAAAGCTGAGGGATTGACAGCAACTGCCCAGCCCTGAGGGATGCACCACAGCACAACAACCCCGGCAGTGTTTCCTGGCCCCAGAGGCTGGCACGGGACCGGGACAGCCAGGGTGACATCCCAGAGGTCAGGGGTCACCCATGACCAGACCTCGCGGGAAGAGGTTTAACGATGAAACAAACGATAATTTTCCCTGGCTCAACAAAGACAGCAGTAACTGAGCTCCTCACTCACACACTGAAGGCTTTCGGCCACGGGTCAGCGGGAAAACATTTCCCTGGGCCAAAATCGTGTGCCCAGCTGCTGGAATGTGTTTGGGACAGCCCTGAGGTCACCCCAGGAATCATAGAAATGGCAACAACTCGCTACTCACAGCAGGTAGGTAGGAGCTCATTGCTCCTGCTCGTGGCTGAGCCTGGCACAGTCCACAGCATGGTGGCACTCGTGCTGGCCAGAGGATTTTCTCGCCTTTCCCAAGCGGGATCTTTTCCCACATGCCCAACAGATCTACCCATCATCACTGCTGGGAGCTGGGGTCTGCACCAGTGAGGAGCCCAGGATCTGTGCAACAGCTGGAGTGGCCCATTTGCAATTCCAGTGGCCCTTTGGGTGCAGGGGGGGGGGCAATGGCTGTGTCCTGGAGTGTGGGGGGGCCCCTTGCCAGCCCACGCCTGGGGGACTGGGTTTGCACAAAGGGTTGTTTTAGTAGCTGGGAAAAAAAATCTTAACTTTTCAGCATTAACAGGGATGGGAATTGCAGTGTCTTCCACCGATGGGCACACAAGTTTAACCAAGTTAAACTCCCACACATCACCTTGGTTCAACTTCAACAAGTCCCACTGGGACCTGGATGAAAGCTTCAGTTCCGGGTTTTTTCACCTCTATCACTTTGGCTAAAAAAAAAACCCCTCTCTTCCCTGCAAACCCCAGTTTTCTTCATGACCATGAATACAGCAGGACTTAAATAAAAGGATTGGAAAATAGGATTCCTCACAGAAAATGTCGCTGGAGTTGCCCATCAGAGGACAAGCTATCAGCTGCAAAAAAGACAAAAAGAGAAATACACGTCCTGTGCTTTCCTAAGGTGACCTTTAAAATGAAGAAACCATTTGATTCACCCCTAAAGGGAATATCTTCTATGCCCAGCCCTGAAAGCAGCTGTCAGGGAACACCAGGGCAGTGGGAATCCCCAGGACAGCCCTCCTGGGGCTCCTGGGGACAGAGCCACTGACCCTCCCTGCTGGCCCTGCTTGGCGACTGATCCAGGGAGCATCTCCTCTCCAATTCCTGGAGCTTGGGAAGGGTGTGAGGGGCATCCCGTGGCAGAGAGACAGGAGAAATGTAAAAGTGTCTTTTAATATAAATATAGATCCATCTGAAGTGCTGCAGGAGAGGACCGTGCCCCGCGAGGGATGCCCGGGATGGTGGGTGGGCTCAGTGGGTATCTCTTCCCGGCCAGCACCGGGGGGACCGACCCGGGGCGTCACCCGGGCACCCCCGGGTGGGCAGGGCTAGAGCCGGGCCACCAGCAGCGGCAGGGCCAGCAGGGCAGCAACGCGGGGTGCAGGGGGGTGCCGAGCCCCGCAAGCGTGGCCCTGGGTTGGTCTCAGCGGCCGGCGAGCCCCGGGCGCTGGCCAGGCGTCCCCGGGAGCTGCACAGCTCCTGCAGGTTCCCCTGGAACTGGATCTTGCGGGACTCCTGGCGCAGCGACTCCCAGATCGCGGACGCTTCCACGGGGCATTTCGACAGCACCTCGCTGGCGCAGGTGTGGAAGTCGTCCCAGGACCTGGGGAGGAGGGCAGGAGTGGGGGGGATGCTGGCGGCAGGTCACTCGGCACATATTCCGTGGCGAGCCAGCGGGCCTCCCACAGGGAGGGACACTCTCGTGTGTGTGTCCAGCTCTCTACCGCACCTCTCGCCGCCATCTCTACTGCTCTGCTGCTGCGACGCTCGGGCCATGCTGTCCCCCAGGCTGATGAGGCAGCCGGCGCGAAGCCCTTGTAGAATGGTGTCGCACTGCCCGGCATGCTGCACGGGCTCCTGGCTCGCGACGGCTGGGGGGGCAACAGAGAGGAGAGACGGAAGCTGAGCACCCGGCGGACCCCCCGACAAGGCATTCGCCTGCCCCGGCTCGGGGGCGGCTGGGGTGAGATGGCAACGGGGTGGGGGTGACACCGGGGCTCTGAAACGTGGCGAGGGGCTTCTGCATCCCCCTGGACCCCCCGGCACCCCCTCCCTGGGCACTCGTAGCGAACCTTCGCTCCCGGCCCGGGACCCGGCGCGGCACAATGTGACGACCCCGCAGCGATGCTGCCATTAGCCACGGGGCTCCTGCCGGCCGCGTCGCCTCGGGCCTCCCCGGCTCTCCCCGGAGCCATCTGTCCCGGGCTTTATCCCCTGACAGCAAAGATTAATTTGTGACTACAACGGGAAAAAAAAAATCAGCAAACAAAGCAAAGGCTCAGCAAGCTGGAGTCCCTGCTCCGACTGCAGGGGGAGAGAGGGGGAAAGAGGAAAGGAAAAGGAAAGTGGAAAGGGGGAAGGGGAGACGGAGAAGGAAGAGGAAGGGAAAGGGGAAAGGAAAGAGAGAATGGAAGGGGAAGAGGGAAAGGGAAGGAAAAGGGAGGGAAGAGGAAGGAGAAAGGGGAATGAAAATGGGAAAGTGGAAAGGAGAAAGAGGAAAGGGAAAATGGAAAGGAAGGAGAAGGGGGGAAGGGAAAGGGGGAGGAAAAGCACAAAAGGAAGAGGCACAAGTGCAACTCTGGCTGCTTTGTCCTGAGAAGGCTCAGTTCCCTGCTCTGCTCCACAAAGGATTCACCACTGGCCATGGGATGATGGATGACAGGGTGTATTGGCCAGGGCTGTGAGTGCATCCATGGCCGGAGGAAGTCCCAAAAGAGCCAGTGTGTGGCTGGGTCACCAAAAAGGTGTGTGGCTGGGTCACAGGGAAACCCTGCATGGTCCCCAGCTGTGCCCCCAGGGGTCCCACAGGGCTAGAGAGATGTGGGTTCCCTGGGCCAGTTCATGGGAGTTGTGAGACTTTTGGAAGTGCCATGAGTGTGTGCCAGGGAGGTCTCCAACTGAGGACAGTCCTGCTGGGGACCCCTGTGGGAAGGTGACCCCAGAAGGAGCTGAAAGTTGCCCGGTGGCTGCTGAGGCAGCCAGGATGTCTCCAGGGAGCCGTGTGCCTGGCTGCTGGCATCCCATGCCTGCGCCCCTGGAACAAGGTCCTGAGCAAAGCACCTGTGGCCGAGACCAACAAGCCTGACAGCCCATCATGGGGCACAGCACGTGTTTGTGATGAGAACCCCCGAGCACATCACCGAGGACAGTCTCTGATGTCAGACACGTGGGGCACAAACAGAGCAGGTATCGATAAAGTGGGACCCATTGCTCCTCTTTTGACCCAGCCAAGCACATCTCCCACCAGCCCAGGGACACCAGCAGATGCCTACCCTCCGCCGGCTGGTCCCTGCTCCTCTGGGCTCCTTTAATTCCCGGCACGAGCCCTTCCCTCTGCCCAGCTCCCTCGGCAAAAGGCTGGGCAGGGCAGGCAAGGAAGAAGAAACCAGGAGGCTAAATCATCTCCACTACCCCGCTGAAAAACCACGGGGAAAAACCTGCCCCCCGGCTCCGTCAGGGAGAAAGCCCAAGGGAAACGCAGGGAAGAAGTTTCCCAGGGCGCTGCAGAGCATCGCTCGCTCCCAAGCGGGTGCCGACGCGGCCATCCTGCTCCTGGGGAAGGATGGGAATCACCCACCCTCTGAGCCTGAAATCCTCCCGAAGCTCGGTGGACCCTGCCCTCCACCCTCCGTGCGGCCGGACCAGGTTAACCCCAGCCCTCCCTCCCTCTTCAGGGTAGGGATGTCACTGGGTACCGCTTTGCCCCGCGTCCTCCCTCGGCTCACGGAGGAGCGGGAGAGTGCGGAGGGGACGCGCTGATGCCGGTGAGGTGCAGGACCTGCTGGATGACCCTTCCCCAGCGGTCATGGTGACGGAGGGCAGCAGGGAAAGCCAGGAGGAACATGGGGTGAGCACACGGGGCTAGTTCGGGACTGGAGAACCGGAGCAGGGGGACCCCGGACAGCGCTGCAAAGCCGGGTCGGAGCATCGCAGGACACGGGACAAGGGTGGGTGGATCGCTGAGCCGCGGGACAGCCGGGCAGCCCCGCTCCCCGCAGCTACAGGGGGCACCAAGAGCCGGAGGCGGCCGGGTCCCGTCCCACAGCACCCCCCCCCAGCCCCACCCCCCGCAGCCCGCCGCGGCACTCACCGAGGTGCAGGAGCAGCGGGCACACGACCACGCCGAGCAGCCGCCAGCAGCCGCCGCCCATGGTGCGGACCCCCGCGCCGCCGCCTGCCGAGTGTCCCCGCAGCCCGCAGCCCGTCCCGCTCCCGCCCCCGGCACCGCCCCGGACCAGCCCCCGGCACGGCTGAGCCGCCCCTGCCGAGGGGCGGAGGAGCCCCGGGGCAGGACCCCGCTCCTCGCAGTTCATCACGGAACGGTTGGCGGTAGAAGGCACATGAAAGACCACCTCGTTCCAACCCCCTGCCATGGGCAGGGACACCTTCCACTAGACCAGGTCGCTCTAAGCCACAACCTGGCTTTGGACACTTCCAGGGATGGGGCAGCTTCTCTGGGCAACCTGCGGCAGTACCTCACCACTCTCACAGGGGAGGATTTCTTCCTAATATCCAATCTAACCCTGCCCTCTTCAGTTTGAAGCCATTCCCCCTTGTCCTGTCACTCCATGTCCTTGTCCAAGGTCCCTCTCCAGCTCTCTCGGAGCCCCTTTATTGGAAGGTGCTCTAAGGTCTCCCCAGAGTATTTTCTTTCTTCTCTTTTCTGGGAGGGAGGAGCAGCAGCAGACATTTTTGCTGTGAAAAGGAGAATTAGTGTCCACTTCCCACAGCTGGCAGCCCACCACTACCTCCTGGCTCTCTCAGGAAGCAGAGATGGCTGGGCCTGGCTGAACTCACATGGGAAAACTTGAAGAGTCAGGAGAAAATCTGGGAAGAGAGAGGGCATCCTGGCCTAGGCTCAAGCCTGGAGATGGTTTGATATCCTCAAAGGCCATGCAGTCTTCCCTCCATCACACAGCAGAAGAAGGTCCCCACTTTTTTTTTTTTTCTCAAAAAGTTTTTTATTGAATTGTTCTTAATGTTATTTCAAAAAAAAAAAAAAAGAAAAACAAAACAAAAAACTCAAACGAACAAAAAAAACCCCCAAACAACAAAAAACCTTCAAAATTTAGATAAAAAGAAAAACCTTGGCGTAAGAACCGAAACTAATGCCTGAAACATAGACATGCTCCGATGCACAACAGAACCAGTGGCCCCCCCGGGGCTCTGGCAGCTCGCTGCTGCCTGAGCACCCCAACCCAGAGCCTCCCCTCGGGGCACTCCAGAGGCACCACCCCCTGCCCGACCCTGCCTTGGGTGGGCCAGACCCCCCCACTGGGGATCTGGAGTCAACCAACTTTGGAGTAACTAAGAACTACCTAACACACCTGAACTAACCGCTCCCGCTCAGCTGGTCCTGCGCCTCGGCCCCGCGGGGAGGAGGAGTTTGAGCCCTTCACTAAGATGTGGGTGCAGGTTTCTGGTCAGCCAGGAGCACGTGTCCCCGGCAGCCCCCGCACTCGGGGCTCAGCACACACCTCCCTTCTCCTTTGCTGATGGCAGCAGACTCCAAACTTTGAAAGGGGTAAGAAAATCCATCGGCTTCTGCTGCGTGCAACTGGGACTGCCAGCTAGGCCTCGGGGACGGATGGGCAGGTGAACGAGAGATTTAACTCTCTCAAAAAGAGGCTATTTAGGAAAAAGAAGCCAAGTGAACGTTCAGTGACTATTTGGAACTATACACAGACGGCGTTCGCCTTAGAGACATCACACGGGTGTCAATAGATTTCCTGGCAAGAGCTCTTAACACAAGCCATACATCGTTTGTAACTACTGATCTGCTGGGTGGGCTTGGGTGGAGCAGCCCACGAGGCAGCCAGGTCCTCCTAGGTCATGCTGGGGGTGACCAGGCCCTGGAGCATGATCATGAGGCGACGTGCAGACTTGCCCAGAGGGTTGTGAGGTTCCACCTGGAGGAACTGGAAGAGCTTCTGCCGCACCTGGTTCATGACTGACCCCATGTGGTCTCGGGTGATGGGGTCACTTTGGTCCAGGTGCATCACTGCGTCCTCCAAGTAACTGAAGGAGAGAGAGCAAGGTTAGAACCAAACCCAACAAGAGATCCCAACCCTACTCGGTTCATTTTAGCATTGAAAATGCACAGTTCTACTCCCCACCCACCCAAACTTTGCAGTATGTTCAAAATTTATTTCCTGACTCACAGCAGAGTCCACCTATCCCTTCCTTGACATTTAAGGGCAGCCTACAGCTCCCAGCCTGCCCCACCTGCCACACAACCTGGCTGCTGGAACCAAAGAAGGAGAAACAGCAAGAACTCCCCACGGTGCTGGAGGTGGCTCTCAGTAGATATTTTCTTTGATGCCTTTACAGTGCATGCAGAATTAGTCACTCATTAGACAGCAAAACCCCTCAGCAGCAAGGCTCAGTTCGTGTAGGGTTATTTTTAAGGTCTATCCAAGAAGAAGTGGGGGGAGAGCAAGACTTTTACCAGTAAGCCTCTCTGAAGCTCAGAGCTATCAGCTTTCAAACCACAGCCTCAGTAAGGGAATGTGGTCACTGCAGAAGGTTTCCACTAACAGACCAGTTTAAACTTCACAGCAACAGCTTTAGCCCCAGTTACCAACTTGACTGCAACTTGAATCTCTTTTCAGTTTTTCTGGCTTGCTTTATCTCTATTAAATCAAGTTTTTAACTCAACTCATTTTTCCATCCAAGCCACGTCAAAACCTGCAGGAACCTTAACAAGTTAGTTTTTTAAGGGCAGATAACAGGGTTTTGACTCACTTACTAAAAATGTTCATGGCAAGTATCAGCACAGTCACTATTTTGTCACACAAGCTTTGCTTGGAACATCTACCAGACACTATTGGAGTAGCTCCTGCTGCCACCTCCCACTGAGCCTTTCTGGGAGTCACGATGAGAAACTGCCAACACAAAGTCCAGTGACAGGTTAAGAACTGAGGACAGAGCAAAGCTGCTCTGGATACTATACTATCCAGGGAACATGGTACTGTCCCTATTTCTGCCTCCCCAGAGGAATCGTTCCTCGGGGAAAGGGGATCACTGCACAGACTGCAAATATTTACAGGCTGTGATCCCGGAGGTACCGGCACCTACAGCTGGGTACTCCGTGCACTACTCCCTCTGGGCAGCAAAGCTTTCCGTGGCAATGCTGGCATATTTTTCCAAGTTCCTGGTTGTAAACATGCCAGTAACAGGCTACAGAAGCTCCAACTTTTGTTGAAGCACCACCTTTCACTTCCAGGTAGTGAATTTAAAGCCAGTGCCAGAAACAGAACCCGATGCTCTGATCATACTCACTTCAACTTCAGTTCTGTACGAGTGCCCAAATCCGAGGAGAGCTGCTGGATGAGGGAGAGCAGCACAGGCTGGGACAGCGGGCACGGATGCTGTCCAAATACTTGCTGAGTATCCACAGTCTCACAGACATACAGAACCAGGTTGAGATCAGCTGCTGTTAGAGCCTGCAAGGAAGACACAGCTACAAATGCAGAGGAACCAACAGGCAGATGAGGGACACAGGACCTGCCCTCTGCCCTGAGGCACTAAATGGCTCAACAGCCTCCTCTGGGAGCAAACTCTGCTCCTGTGCTGTACATGCCAGCAGGGCCATGTTTAGGCTCCTGGTCTATGCTCTAAGGATACCTGTGTCTGTTCCAAGCTGAACAGGGCACAGCCAGACAGAGGGGAGTGGGTTACTGTCAGCAGCATGGAGAGGGCCATGCTTGCAGCCCCTGTCAGCCCACGGGCACGGCAATGTTATCATTCACAGAGGAGTTTTCCTGCAGCAGCTCAAACACATCTGCCTACATATCCAAAGGCAAAGGCAGGGCCAGGCCCCAGCTGCTAGATCTGCCTGGAGAGGCTTATGAAGCTGCTGCTCCTCAGGGGTGCACCATGTGCCACCACAATGGCAAAACACGCTGGTTCGCTGGAGTGCTGCCACTGTCCTGACAGGGCACGGGCAGGGATGAAGGAACTTCACTGTTACCAAACCGTGGAACCTGCATGGCTCTGGTTCCATCTGCATGAGAGCAACTCAAGCAGTCCACTGCCACAGGTCTTTTCAGTCAACTCCTGTGTAAGCTGAGTGGAACTATATCCCCACCCTACAGAGCCCCTTTTCCTCCCCATTCCCCAGTAAGCAGTGACTGACTGCCAGAAAAATGAGGTACCTGCTGGAAAGCTTGGTTGAGGTGTCCCTGCTGGAGCAGCTGAAGGATGTGAGTCTGCTGGGACTGGAAATCCAAGTGAGTAGAGGGGATGGGCGTCCCGGCTGCCGAGCGCATCGCCTGGACGATGCTGGAGGTGACAGCTGCCTGCTGCTCCTTCATAGCCAGGCTCACTTCTCCTTTAACCACTCTCTGCACCTGGGCCAAAATAGACTCCTGCATGCTAAAAAAACCAAACCAGAACAAAACCCATGGGTGTCTCGGAGAACGGAGAGCTGAGGGACAACACTGCACAAAGCTGGTACCAGTGAGAAAGCACAGGCTGGTTTGCTTTTTGTAGTGTGGCTCCCAAAGGGTTCAAACAAGTAACTCTGAGGCACAGGCATCAGAACTCTGTGGCCAACACCACCATGTCCCAGGGTGTGCATGCAAGATGCTGGGACTCTGTGCAGGAGGAAAGTGATGTTTCAGGGAACTAAGTCTCTCATTTCATGTTTTAAATCTTTAATGTTTCTGGTTTACAAGCAAGGTGACTAAACCGTGGGGTCATCCCTGAACGGGCCCAGGTTCCTGCATCAGATCCATCAGATGCAGTTCCTGGCATGCAGATGACACCTTTGGAATGAAAACACACACTGTGTCGGTGACTTCTCCGCAGAAGAGCACTTCACAGTGCAGGCTCTGCACCTTTCCCCCACAAGGGCTGGATTCTCCCCTCTTACGAAGGGCACAAGGCATCAAACCTGCTGTCCTGCAGGTAGAATTGCAGGACCTCCCTGGGAGCAAGCACAGCCCATGCAACAACACCAGGATTTACTTGGGTGGCCTTCATGGCAACTCTGGCCTGCATGGACGACCCCATTGTGCTCTGAGGTATGTTCTAGTGGCCTCAAATGGGGGTGTTCTGCCCTGCAGGTGACCACCAGCCAATTTTAACACAACCTGCCACCAGCCTCACAGCATGAACGTGCTGGAGGCACCGCCGGGATCACATCCTG